CAGGGGAAAATGTGAAGCTGATGTGTCTGTTTGGAAAAATTACAGATGGGTGTTTGGCAGATCTAATGGAGCATTTGGAAAAAAATAGATAGATGTATAGAAAACAAAGCAGATGAAAAAGCAGTTCTTTTGAAGAGGGAAAAGTAATAGGAGGAAGATGGCACACCCATAGTATATTACTTGGTTCAGCAAGGAAGAATATTTAACTTTACACTGTAAACATATAAAAATATAAACATATAAATGCTGGCTGCTGATTTATCAAAAATAGTGACGTAATCCTGTTGGGGAGGATGGGTAAGAGTTAAAAAAGGGGACAAATGAGAGGTCTAAATCTTATACTTTCAACATGGTAATGAGAAGACGAGATATTTAAAACCTAGAAATAAAAAGAACACAAGCACATTATTTAGGAATATGAACATAAATGCCAGGAGAAACAGCTAAGAGTTGGCAATGGTTTCCTCGAGGGAAAAAACTTAGAATGTCAAGAGACAAGGTAAGGAATGTCTGTTTTCATTGTCTTTTTCCACTGGCTGATATTTTAACTACATATATAAATCCCTTTAAGAAAATTAAGGTTATGGGAGGGGGTATGGGGGTAGGAAAGGGACGGTGGAATGAGATGGACATCATTATCCTAAGTACATATATGAAGACAAAATGGTGTAACTCTACTTTGTGTACAAACGGAGATATGAAAAATTGTGCTCTTTATGTGTAATATGAATCGTAATGCATTCTGCTGTCATATATGACAAATTAGAGTAAATTTAAAAACATGAATTCTTAGGGGGGGCAGGGTTGTGGCTCAGTGGTGGAGCACTTACCTAGCATGTATGAGGCACTGGGTTCAATCCCCAGCACCACATAAAAAAATAAATAAAATTTAAAAAGAAAAGAAAAATAAGGTTATTGGAGAATAAATGGGAAGTATGAAAGGAGGTAGAAAATGCTAAGTGTCAATAGTTTAGCTGGCTATGGAAGGAAACAGTGATAGGATTGTACCAGTTGAAGGCAGAATTTGGCTAAAATGGAAGGTGCCAGAGCATATTTATATCCTGTGTGGAAATATCCTGTGTGAAAAGGAGAAGCTGCAACATCAGAGAGCAAAGAGATAACCAGTGATGAGACCCTGGAGGTCAAAGAGAAACACTAAACTTTATCTTTTCTGGGAAATTTTTGGACTCATTCATTCCTATTCACTGGGAAATTCTCTCTATACCCCTCTCCTCCTTACCTCATGCTCCTCAGTCTCTCTCCACACCCCCAACCACCCTGTAGCCTCTGACACACACTTCTTTTTCTTTCTCTTTCTCTTCCTCCTCCTCTACCACTACCACCACTTCCTCCTCCTCCCCCTTCTCCTCTCTCTTCTCTTCCTCCCCCTTCTCCTCTCTCTTCTCCTCCTCCCCCTTCTCCTCTCTCTTCTCCTCCTCCCCCTTCTCTTCCTTCTTCTCCTCCTCCTCCTTCTTCCTTTTCTTGTTTTCTCTCCTTCTCCTTCTTTTCCCTAGTTCTGGGGATGGAGCCCATGGCCTTGTGCATGTTATGCAAGTGCTCTACTACTGAGATAAATCCCAGCCCCCATGTGCTCTTATCTATATTCCAATCTAGAAAGTCACATTCCTTCCCCAGTATTCTGAATCTATGAGGAATTAGAAATTCAAGTCATTTTATATTCTTGGACATGTTTTCATTTCACTAAACTCATACTTTCCTCACATTATAAAACAAAACTATCTATTCATTTACTTGAACACATTCAAATAATAGATCTTGATGCATACAATAAAATCCCTAGGAAGACCCCAGTTGTTGCCCATCAACCAGCCCTCCCTGTAAATTAATGGGAATGCCAAGAGAAATTGAATAATCCTATTGAAGTAAATAACCTGAATATGAAGCTCACATATTGTCAAAACACAATAAACATTTTTATGGTTGTGGGTCATATGAGAACATTTTTGGGGAATATGTATGTGAAGTATCCACCATCATGTGCTGAAATAGTTAATACATTTAAATTATCTGAGACAAGGAAGACCAGGGTCTCCTCCGTAGCTATGTTGATTGTGCCCTGAATGTCTCTAGAAGGCACAATCAGATTGAAATCTATGGAAATGACACCTCACACCCAGCCTCTCAACCCCTGGAGTTTTTTTCAAGGTGGGATTGGAGCTGGAGCTATACACATCAGTCATGATGAGACCCCTTTAATTTTACTATACAATATATTTCAGAACAGAGAAAAAAATTAAATTTATAATCACATTCACTTTTGAAGAAGTCCATTAAACTTCATTTTAAAAACATATTCACAAATGGAAGCTGGATTTGGAGTGCATTTAATCGTCTACCTCCTATTCCCAGTAGATTTCACTTCTAATATATGGTTTAAAGCAAAGCTATCCAATGTATAGTTGGTTCTAAAATTATAAAGAAAAACTGCCATGACCATTGCTCTTTATCATTTCTGAAAGTGACTATGTATTGTTCTGCCAAGTTTTCTTAACAGTTGTAATTTGTAGGTGGCTCTATGCCAAGATCTAGATGTATAAACACTAGATGTATAAACACTGTTAAGACCTTTGGAGCATTTTTCCAGCTGATGGTATGAACTTTGAGAAGAAATGACATAGCATGGTATGAGCAGGTAAAAGCAAAGACATCAGCAAGTGACATTAAGATTTTGATAAATCACTGAAGAATGACAGGTAGAATCTAAAGGAATGCAGTATTTGGTTCTTTTGATACCCCCATTTGCTCAAACATAGTATGTCATGTTACAGTAATACTAAATACTTCACAAATACCCAGGTAGGCATTAATAAAAGCAGCAAATGTCCTTTTTTTTGAAAGGGTTGCTTGTATACTATATGAAAGTGGAAAAATTCCCTTAAAAAATGCAAGTCAGTATTCTAAATGGAAAGTTCTCGAATTATTTAAATTTGTCTTGTCCAAAATCATATTTCTTTTTTTTTTTTAGTGCCAGCTATTGAATCAGGGCCTCATGCATACTAAGCATGCATTCTACCACTGAGCTACATCCCAAACCAAAATAATAATTCTTTTTTTAAAATATTTTTTTAGTTGTTGATGGACCTTTATTTTATTTATTTATATGTGGTACTGAGAATCGAACCCAGTGCCTCACACATGCTAGGCAAGCGCTCTACCACTGAGCCACAACCCCAGCCCCAGAATCATAATTCTTAAAGTGTTTATTTTCTCAGTCTCTTTTTCCCACCCCCTTTTAAATTTTCAATCCCATTATATGGCATGTCTTTAACATGGTTGCTCAATGTTTGTTTGTTTGTTTTTTAATACCTTTATTTTTATGTGGTGCTAAGGATGGAACCCAGTACCTCACATGTGATAGGCAAGCTCTCTACCACTGAGCCACAACTTCAGCTCACTCAATGTTTTTAATACATATTCTGAGAAATGATGAATAGTAGGAAATGAATATGATTAAAGAGCCTGCGAATACTATGAGGCATCTATATCTACTACCACTACAAACAATTCAAGCGCAAATTCTGCAAAGTATAGGAAATGTGGTGAGGAGAACACAAAGAAAAATGTGTTTGTTCATGGACTAAAAACTAATCATACATCTTTTTTTTTTTAATTACTTTTTCCCAAATATCAAGATCAGGTGCTATTCATACAATTTTGAAATTCTAACAATTCCAAAATGGAAAAACAAAAATTTGTAACTTTATAGTTATTGTACTTCTGTAAAGTTGACCTACTTAATTCCAAACTTTTGGCAAAGGTACTGTCTACATAAGACCTTAGTGTGCTAAGCTATGGGTTACTAACCTTGAGCTCATTTGTTGTTATGTGACTACAAAGCACACTGTCCACTTTAACATGGTTAGTCTCACAAATACAGTTGGAATTTGCATTCACAGTCTGTTTCATGCTTATTAAAACATGCTTAAAATTAAAGAAAATGATTCAAACATGAGAAAAACTGACAGGAATAATAATGTATTTCTCCACCCCCACCACACACACACACACACACACACACACAAATCTTGAACTGTTTCTACATTTGCAAGTAGAGTCCACATTTAACAGAGTAAAATATTTGGACTCAATTAAGCTATGCATGATGTCATTTTTTTCTTGGCATTAATGTATCCGAATTTACTTTCTTCTATTTTCTATCCATCACAATTTCTGTTGAGCTATAAATGGTCGTTTAGCAACTCTAAAGTGCTCCACAACTTAAATCAGTCACACACTTGAATGGAGCACGAGTCTGACATTAATATTTCTAAAATTACTCTCTATGACATTCTGGGAATCTTTTGTAGGTGGCCGAAACTTCTACAATATACACAAACACACAAGAATAAGTCAAACTCTGTTTTTAGGATTCCGTAGTTCGTTTCCATTTTATTTCACATTCAAGTTCTTTCCTGAAATCATTTTAGAAGCTTTGTTTCTGCAATATTTTAGAGGTTCGAGCCCTGTGATAGCTATGCAATTCTTTTTCCAGCACACTAATTCAGTATTTGATAAAGGCAAGTGACAATTACTAAACTATGTCCTATTTTAGAGTTTTTGAAAAATAAAAAATTACCATAGAACAATACCTGTTAAATTTGGCTTTTGATTAGAAATTATGTGAGTCAGCCTTTAAGAATAGGTGGTACAGTCCCCAAATTTTACTGATGAACAAACTGAGGGTTTCTTAATTGGTGGGCTAATTGATAGATCCACTTGCTAGAAGCAAAATTGAAACTAGAAGTCAGGCTCTGCCACAAGCCCAACATCCTCAACAAACCACACAGCAAACAGCAGTTTGGGTAATTACTTCTGTTCCCCAAGCATCAAAACAAATGCACAAAATAGGAAAGAAACATGGCTATTAGTTGGTTATTTTATAAACAAGGTGTTTAAAACTTAAATTAGTACATGTAAAGAGTTGGCACAAACAGATGAAGACTCATTTTCACAGCAGCAGTAGCATCTGCACAACATACCCCCTTAGCCACTGCCCTCAGCCCTTCCCCCCTCCAAGAGAGGTAGTGCTGCTGGCTGCAGATTTCTTCAGCTCTATTTTCATAGACTGAGTCTCAGCTCGAGGCTCGAATTTGGTCAGATTTCCTGCTCCTGGGGCTGCCACTACTGGCTTTCCTGCTTTCATACCTTTTGACATAGGAATGCGGGTAGGTGTAGGCCGCTGGGATGACCCATCTTGTCCTGACTGTAAGAGAAAACAGAAGGGAGATGTAAATTTCCCCTGAACATGCCATCCATTTGAATGTCACAAGACTCTTGACACACAGAAACACCCACAGGTGACAACCCTTCCCCAGAAGAAAAAAAAAAAAAAAAAGGAGTTTAAGAAACTTGGAATTGGTATCTAATTTGCTCTGGTTATGTCCTTTTTTCCTCTCTAAAAACATCTATGTTGAATAATCTTCTCTTTTTAAGTACTACCCTACCTCCTCTATCCTTTCTGAAGATGGCCTTAAGGTCCATTTCATGGCAAAAATATCGGCCACCAGGTATAAACTCAGGCAATTTTACTTGTACTGTTCCACAAATTATCTCCACTCTCCCTTCTTCCCTCCATTTCAGATGAAGCAGCTCTCCTCTCATTCCTTATGACTTCAGGTGACTGTCATTTTTCTTTGTCATTGCTGACCTTAAAATCCTAACACTCTCTTGTTTGGATTTCTTATGTGAGTCTCACCAGTTCATCTCCTGTCTCTGATGATTTCTTTTCGATCTCTTGCTGGCTCCTTGTTCTACCTTGTCTGCCTTCTAAATGTGAGTGTCATCATGTCCTATTCTCAGCCATTTCTAAGTTTTACACTCACCCTTAGAATCCCCTTAGTTTGTCCCAGTATGTCCAAGTACTAGAACCTCAAGCCTTCAATTCTCTCTTGAAATGCAGATCTGTATTTCCAGCTACTTACTGGAAATTTACAGCATCCCCCAGTCATCTAAAAATAACATGTCTCAAACATTGCTTATCCTCTTCTTCAAAGAGTTAGTCTCCCTATGCTGCTCATCCAAGACATCCAGACAACCAAACCAGAAACCTCAGAGCCACCCTCTATATTCAATTTGTCATGAAATCTTTTCAATTCTATCTTCAGTATATCTCTGTCCTCATTTTCACTTCAAGTCATCTCTTGCCTAGAGAATTGCAGTAGCATTGCCTTTAGCAGCCATCCCCTCCAATTTATCTTTTAAATAGTTTTCTAGACAAGTCTTTCTCAAATAATGTAATGTTTTTCATGATCATAACCCTTTCAATGGCTCCCCTTTGCCACTCCATGAAATTAAATATCAATTTCATAAAACACGTCTGTGCCTTCAATATCTGACCCAAGTGTACTTTTCCATTTTCTGCACTTGGATTTTCTCTATGCTCCCAGCACAGTGGGATGCTCAATATTTCCCAAAAATGCCAGGCTGCTTCACATCCTAATGCCTTTGCACATACTGTTCTGCCTTCATATTCCTATTATTTTCCTTCTTGAAAATCCCACCTTATCTGTGAAGACTTCTCTGGTGGGTCCTTTGGGTATACCTGTTTCAGAACCACTAAGTAAGTTCCAGTCCTGCCTCTCCCACTCAGTCAAGTACTTCTAAAGTCCTCTTCACATGCCAACACCTAATACCATGGTCAAAGCATAGCTGACACTCAACAAATGTGGAATGAACAAGTGCACACATGAACTAGCCTGATGACATTTTCAAAGAGGTGTCCTAAACCTTTTGTTGTCCTTGCTCTAATGGGATCTGGTATACCTAAAATAAATGGGCTACAATTCAGACCTTTAGAAATCTTAGGCAACTGTTTTGAAATCCTATTTATGTATTGGGTTTAATAGGTGGTCCAAAATGTTGCTACAGAAGGTAAGGCTATCCTGATAGGATACTCAAAATAGGAATGAGATGTTACAACAGAAAATCTACTTCAAATTACAATAATTTACATCCCCACAACGTTTTTATAAAATGCAGCAGAAAGAAGCAAGACCCTACATAACCAAACTATGCTCTGTGTTGCCTAAAAAGCAGTCCTAAATCATTTGAGAAGGGCAAATAATTTTGAATGCTATTTGGCTTCTGTAGAGCCAGTAATGAAAAGCTTTACTGGCAAAGCAATTAGTAATTCACACTTTGAAGTCTGTCTTGAGTCTGAATTTTGGCAAAGAGAATTAATGTAAATTATATTGAGCATTTAGGGAAATAAGCCACAGTTTCTATATTTAAATCATGACTTTCCTGTCTTTAAGAGATTTCAATATATGCTATAGAATTTGTTCAAAATTCCGAGCCTAGAGATCATAATTTCTAGTCTATTAGCTTAAATTAATATCTAAATAATTCATGCTCTTCTATAAGAATCTTGTCCCCAATAAATAAAGACAATCACTGGAAGTATTTTGAAAAATATAACTTCTTTTTAAGCCCTAGTGTTTGCACTTTGAACATTTTTTAAAATAATCATTCCTGCTAGTTATCGAATAAATATTTATAAAGTGCCTGCTCTCTGCAAGGTAGTTCTTTTTTTAATAATTAAACACCAAATTTTAATTATTTTTCAAAATATGTATCTGTTTTCTACTATCAAGAAAAAAGGTAATTCTTAATCATATAAAAATCACTTTTTTTCCTTTAAAAAAAGTTTTTTATATCAAAATATTTTAATCTTATTTTGTGAATAAAGCATGGCTATGACCATACACAATCACATATAGTATATTTTAGGTTTTAGAAATATAACCTAGGAACTGTTTTAGTTCTTCTTGAATATTGACTGTTTCCTCCTGTCATCATTTTAAAAAGTATTTTAAACATAAAAATCAAATTTTAAACCTCAGGATTACCCTGTGCTGCCATTTCAAAGAGCCCATCTTTGCAAGTATTTGAAGTGTCTCCACAATTTACATGAATAAATGAAAATTTCCCTCAAAATTGGCCCAATTTATCAAAATATTAGATTGCTTAATTTTCATCTATCAGTGTAGATGGTGCTACAGGAAACATCAGTGAGTGGGGGAGGTACACGGCTTTGATTTATTGTGGGTGCTGAGTTAGTCTCACTCCTTACTTCTCCATCCTCCTCTGGCCAGGGCTTTGGAACCTCTTATACTCACCACTGACTGGGTTCCTCGAGTAGATGAAGTTGTGACTGGTGTTATGGTGATGGTGCTCGTCACTTTGCTCGCACCGGGTCGTGAAGAGAGATGGTTCCTGGGAGAGCGAAGGACAGTGCCAGTGGAAACCTCCTTTTCAGCTGTCACGTTGACTGGCCGAACAGTAATAACTGGACTAGCTCCTTCAACTGAAGTCCCAGGGGATCGTTTAAACTGGGAACCTAAGTGAATGTGAATCTTATTGTCTTCCGTGGTTATGATATTGGCATTGGAATTGTATTTTCGTACTGGAGGTGGAACAGTCTGTTTTTCGGGGGTGACTTTAAGGATAGTCCTTCCCATGGGCATTTCCTGGGATTCTGGAGAAACTGCAATTTCGGCTGGCGCTGCAGAAGTAGACACCGTCATTATCTGAATGGGGGATGTGGGCCTGTCTGCAAACGTGCCTCTTCCACTTTCTGGGGTTTTCTCTCTGGAAAACGTCGTAATTGTGACTGGGGACATGGCTCTTTCTGGGCCAAGAGTAGGTTCTGCACTTTTTGTTTTTTGAGACATAACATTTGGTGATGGAATAATGGTTATCCTTGGTTTCTGATTCCCTAATGTAGGAATGACGGTGGTACTAGAAAAAAATTCTTCAGATGTGGGACTGGTTATCTCCAAAGTGGCAGTACTGTTCTCGTGATCTGGTGTCACTCGGATATGCAAGGGCTGGCCCTGCTTTGGTGAAAGAACTAGTTCTCCTGGGTGCCCGGAAGTGGAATTTGTTCGAGGCCCTTTCTCCTGCGTGATTGATGGGCCGTTTTCCCTTTTTCTCATCCACGGAATCCACGACTTTCTCATAGTGAGCTCATTTGCTGCTGGAGGATACCTGTCTAGGACAGAGGATCGTTCCATGGGCTTTTTCAGTCCTACCTGTCGAAGATTGCTCATGATGTGATTTTCTTCTTGGAAGGATTTTCGTATGAATACAGCCGGCGTTTCTTCCTCAGCTGCCTCGCTGCCCACGGCCTCTGTCTGCACCCCGGTGGACGTCACAGGCACATCCACCATTCTTCTCCCATTCACGCTGGGTCTGAGAGCGCGGCTGTACCGCTTAGAAAGCTCCAACTCTTTGGTCAGATTGAGGACCTCCTGCCCCATGTTTTTGTTCTTATTTTCTTCCTCCATAAATCTTTGTTGAAGGACTGAATAATCTACTTGGAGCTGAGAAAGCTGATCTTCTTTGTTCATTAACTCGTGAATTTTCTCTTTGAGAGCTTGTACCTCGGCTTTCAAATCTCTACTCTTAGCCTCTTCCAATCGAAATCGGTGTCTCAGCTCAGCTTCCTGGCTCACAGCCTCCCCTTTCTCTATTGCTTTGTTCTTGGCAATTTGGTGCTTGATCTCCTCTAACTGCTGAGAGAGGAAGTTAGCTTTATCCTGCTCAGTTCTGAATTTCTGCTCCAACTGATCATACTCATCCTCTGTCTTCATCAGATCCCCTTCCACTACTTCCAACTGTTGGAGACGCTTCTTCAGCCTCTCAATTTCAAGGGTTAGTTCCTTAATCTTATTATCTTCTGGGCAGGTGAGCTCAGGTCCTTTTCGAGACCTTCCTCTTGTTATTTCTCTTTCCACTTCTTCCATACCATCAAGTCTCTTCTTTAACAAATCAACGCTGCAGCTTAATTCAGAGGATTTTTCTTCTTCACTTTTCAGTTTACGTATCAACTCATCTCTCTCCTTTGTCAAAGTGTACACCTTTTCCTCCATTTCAGATTTCAGTTTTAAAAGTTTCTTACTTTCTTCGATTAATTTTTCAGTTACATCCATAACTTTGCCTTGTTCCACCTTAAAATTTTTATTGAGTCCATCCACTTTTCTCTCTTCTTGCTTTATTTTTTCCATCATATTTTTCCTTTCATCAACCAGCATCACTGTAAATGACTTCAGCTTTGTGAGATCATCTTTGAGGCTCAATTCTGCCTTTTCCAGTCTACTTTCAGAACACTCAAGTTCTTTAACTCGACTTTTAACTACCTCCAATTCATTTAGCAGGTCTTTGGTTAAATTCTTTTCTTTCTCCAGATTTAAGTGTAGCTGGGAGCATTCAGATTTACTCTTGCTAAATGCTTCTTCCAGTTTCTCCAGTTCAGACATTCTCTTCTGTAACTTCTCAACTTCAAGTTTGAGCTCCTTACTATGGTGTTCTTCCTCTTGCAGTTTCTTCCTCAGTTCCCTGCACTGGGATTCAGTTTTCGTGATCTCTTCATCTTTACCCTCCATTTCCAGCACACGCTTTCGGAGATTTTCCACTTCTGCCATGAGGCTGGAGTTTCCACATTCCCCTTTGGCAATTTTATCTCTCAATTCCTGAAGTTCTTCCTCTGCCTTTTGAAGATTTTTATTGGTCTCTTCTAGCTCCTCAATTCTTTGAGATAAGCCAACCAGCTTCAGTCTAAGTTGCCTGTTGTGAGACTCTTGGTTAGCCAATTTAGCATTCATCTCTTCATGCTCTTGAGAAAACCTAGAAGCCTTGTGTTCAAAGTCCACTTCTAACTTGAGCAGTTTCTGTCTGTCTTCTTTGGATTTGGAAGTAATGGCTTTGAGCTTTTCTTCTTCTTCCCTCAGTTTCTGAGTAAGATCCTGTACCTTCTGGCTTTGCAGGCCAAGTTGTTCAATGTGCATTTGTCTTTCATCCACCAGCATGAGTGCAAAGGACTTGAGTTTGACAAGCTCATCTCTTAGTTTATTGAGACGCTTAGCATTTTCCTTTTCTTTGCGGGCTTGGTAAGCCTTTTCTTGTTCAAGGAGCTTTTTCAACCTAGAAAACAAAATATATCTATATATTAAAAGATTAATCAACAAATAGATTTATCTTAGTTCTTAAATAAAAAAACAAAATATTACCACAATAAATCCCTTATAAACAGCTGTAATATCAACTACAAGTAGCCATTAATGAAACTGATTAGAAAAATCAGGAGACTGGTTACCTTTAGAGAGGGTAGTAACTCAAAAGGGGCCTGAGTTTGTTTCATTATTTACACGCTGGTTATAGAGGATTGTTCAGTTTATGAAATTTCATAAGCTAAACACTTAAAGAATACCTTCCACATGAATTTTTTAATAACTATTAAGTAAAATAAAAGTTGTGCAATAATAATGACTATTATATGTATTATATGCCTTCTGTATTCTAGGCAGTAATATCTACTTTATTCTCACAACTCTGTGAGATATGTGTTGCTACCATCATTCTCAGGAGGAAAATGAGCCGTGGGATTATCCATATATCACACAGTTAGTCAGCAACAGTGCTGGGATACCAACTCAGCCAGTAGGGCTCCAGAATCCTTACTTATCTCTGCATCATTCAACTCCAAGAGAAAATTTTACTTAAGTGAAAGAGAAGATCCAGAAAAGAAGAACTTTTGAGTTTTATTTTTTAAACCCTTAAAATAAATTATGCAGCTATCTATGTGATAGGGACAAAGCAAGACAGACCATCTGACACACAAAAAAATGATCTACATAAGTTGATTTTAGTTGACATCAGAACTGGCAAAGGATTTGGTCTCAGTTTTCTGATTTAAACAAATTTTCTTAATAAAGAACTAGGTCAAGAGGAAAACTGAATCAGTACAAAAATGTGGTAGTTGTAGGAATCGTTATGTTTCATATGTATGAAATGCATTTTCTCTATGATGTATGTAAATAGCTTTAAAAACAAGGAAATATGTATGCCAGAGAAACTATTTACCATTCTTGTGTTGGTCATTTAACTTGTATCAGATTTTTCTTTCTTTTTTTTTTGTACCAGGGAATGAACCCAGTGGGGCTTAACCACTAAGACAGATCCTCAGCCATTTTTATATTTTATTTTGAGACAGGCTGTCAGTTGCTTAGGGCCTCACTAAATTCCTATACTGGCTTTAAACTCACGATCCTCCTGCTTCAACCTCCCAAGCTGCTGGGATTACAGGTGTGTGCCACTACACCCGGCTTGTATCAGTTTTTAATAGTTTTCTTTATATACCCACAGAAACGTATCTACCAGCCAATGGTGGCTCATACCTGTAATTCCAGTAGCTCTGGAGGTTCACTGAGGCCAGAGAATTTCGAGTGCAAAACCAGCCTCAGCAATTTAGCAAGGCCCTTAACAGCTTAGCAAGACCCTGTCCCAAAATAAAAAAATTTTAAAAAGGATTGGAGATGTGGCTCAGTGGTTAAGCACCTTGTGTGTGTGTGTGTGTGTGTATATGTATATTATATATATTATATATTTTATATATATCATATATTAGTGTAAGAATGCATCTCAGTACTTAATGTTTATAAGTTATAAACAACCACTAATCTGTATCTATTAGTTTTATATATATTTTATTTTTTCAATGTACTTCACACCTTTATTATTTGAATTGATTCATTCCACACTTATGACTATATTAACTGTTAGTCAAGTAAATATTATTTATCTCACATTGCATTATGTAAGAAATGATTGGATATAGCTATAGATGATATTTATAATTAGAGCCATTTCCAGATAATTACCATAGAAATGATTCTGATGATGTCATTAAGATTTTTTATAGAATTTGTTTTATAGAACATATGCTGTAGCTAAATATCTCTTAATTAAACACAGCTTCCAAAAATCATTATGACTTCTTCTCTAAAATGAAAGGGAAAGATAGTTTTCAAATCCTATAAACTCACATGAACAATACTGTAATAGCTTAATTAAGTGTTGTTCTTACATATGTTAAAGAGCACTTTATTAATCATCTTATTACATGGAGGAATAGAGTGACTTAAATATTATAGAAACCATAAAATTGGTTAGTAATAAGGCTGAAGGAGGTGAAAGCAAAATGGGGAAGATGAGAAAAAGGGAGCTGACATTTTCAGGTGGCATTGGGGGCTACTGACAAGAAAATCTGTCTCCGGGGAACAGATTTTTCAGGTCCTAGAGAATTTCTAGTCTTAATATTATTCAAGAGGCTCTTAAAAGCTCATTTGAAACTCTAATTTTGGCTAATACTTAATTCTAAATAAATAAATAAAGGATAAAAAGAAATTTCCCTATATGATATGTTAAGTGCCTTATTATTTCACTTAATTTTCACAATAATCCTTTAAGCAAGGCAATACTGTACCATTTTGTAATAAGGGATATCATTGGATTTAATTAAAGGAACATAGCTATGAAGAGCAGATTGGGATTTTGTATCATTCCCTGGTACAAAAAAAAAAAAAAACCTGTATATTTGAACAAATATTGTTTGTTCCTAACAATGCTATTCCTCAAATAGATATGTTTGCTAGACAGTTCACATCTACAATACTTAGGTTAACTTCATCTTGCATGGTTCAATCTATCTTAGATTTGTCAAGATCCCCTTTGGACTCTTTTCATACAACATTTCAGCTTATTCCTAGCATTGTGTCACTGGTCAAATGACCCCAATCATTAATAACAAGACAGGTCAATGCACAGAGCCCTCAAAACACTCTCAAGATCTCCCTCCTGCTGACATCAATCCATTCAGTAGCATGGATGAAGTCATTCAATTAGCTGTTGAGCCCACTGGACTATTCATTCTTTACTTCTTCAGAGCTCCCAATCTTCCCTTGTGAACCTGTTCTAACTACATCTTCCTCATGGCAATCAAATACAACCAGTCCTTCCTGTTGCTTATGTTCTGAATTTAAAGTCATTGTTGAGTCCTTTATTTATCTCACATCCCTACATTTAGTTTCTCAACAAATTATGTCAATTCTATCATCAAATTACATCCCCAAATCAATTACTTCTCACCTCCTCCATTCCTATCACCCTGGCCCAAGCCACCATTGCTAAAGCCCCCTAATCTGACTCCCAGCTTCTACTCCTGCCCTTCAGTGTTTTATCTTCCAAAAAGCCTGGATGATCCTAAAGTGAAAGAAAAAAACAGGGGGGGGGGCAAATTAGATCATATCAATCTGCTTAGAAATGGAAGGAGAAACAGGAAAATGGATATAGAAAACATGCAGAATTGGATCAATATTTTAATGATATTAAACACACACAAGAGCTATTAACATGCTTCCTCTTAATTTAAAGCTCTTTGGTTTTTCTTTTAGCCACAGTTCAGTTAATAAAGAAAAAACTGATAGTATGCCAGTATTAATAAATGAAAAAGTAATTATACAATACTAAAAATAATGGATGTAGATACTGCTCATCAATGTCTTTGAAAAGGAGACCTCCAGACATTATATACATATGTACCCATCTCCACCCATAAAATATTCTTGCCAAAAAAATTAGACCTGATCATATCAAGCTGTAACTAATTAGCTATAACTAATTACTAGATTAGTTATAGTAATTAGTAATTAACTGTAACTAATTACTAGATTATAGGAAAGAGAGGGTCAAGAAACTGCTAAATGACATAACCATTATGAATCAGAAAAATACAAAATGTGGGCAACTGCACATCATGAACAACCTAGTTTCTTCAATAAATACATTGCAGGATGAACAAAGAGCAGGGCTGAGGATCTATAAATTAGAAATTTAGAAGACATATCAACCAATTATCTTTTGGATTCTTATGCACACTTTTTAAAATGATACAATTGGAAAATGTATGTTAAGGAATTATTAAATTTTAGGTTTGATAATGAATTGTAACAATATTTTAATGTCTTTTAGAAATACATATTGAAATATTTGCGAATCAAATGATTTATCTGGGATTTATATCAAAATAATCCAAGGGAATGGGAATAGATGAAATTAGACTGATCATGAGTTAATTACCAAAGCTAAGTATTGCCTGAGTCATTTATTTCCCTTTATGATAGGAGATGTTGTTATTGAGTCGTTTATTTCTCTTTGTGATAGTTCATTATACTTTTCCATCTTTGTAAATGTTTGAAATTTTCCACAATGAAAAATTTTTAATCCCCTTTTGGAATCTTCAACTTTCTTCTCTCCCCCAAGTCTCAGCTCCTTTGGTCTCTGGCCACATTACTACTTATCTTACAGTGTTGTGTAACTCTCAAGTTTGTCTGTGATTGTTAGTGATTCTTTCATTCCTTCCCATGTTTACAAAATTGACTTTGTAGAGACTCTTACTTTTTCTTCCTTATTGGAATTCATTTGATGCTTAGTCAAATTTATGTTAGAGAAAATATCCTTACTATGTTCTGTTCTACAGATACTTGTTAATATCTCTTTCCTTTTAAAAGTCTAAGGTCAAACTTTTGGGTGGAAGAAAGAGGAAGTAAGAGTTTTTTAACCTTATCCGAATGTTGCATTTTTTTGATGACCACCATACTTGGAACAGTTGTCCATCTGTGTTCCTTAAGCTTCAGGGGTGCACACTTTCCTCTAGTCATACCCACTTCTCTTCTTTGGAAAGCAATTGGTGGGAGATTTTATGAATCTATCTCCCCAACATTGTTGACACTTCCACTTTTTAATCATTCCTCCACATTTGTCAGCATTAGTCCCAGAAAAGCAATTGTGTCTTTGCTTCCTTAATATGTTGTCACTTGTCACCATCCTAATCCATCAGACCCCATTTTGATATACTGATGTCACTGAAAAGTCATCCTAGGCTTATTTCTCAGCCAGTCCATACCAATTTCCATTCTCAGCACACTGTTCTTCAATCCTGGTATGTATGTTTCTCTGTCTTTTGAGAAAGGGGACAGGTTAAAACTAGAAAGGGCATGACAGTAATTAAAGATGAATGAACCTCAAAAGAGGCAAGCTTGCATGCAATTTGAAGTCTTCAGTCACAATGAATTTTCTCCCCACTA